ACCAGAGATTTCAGAGCGTGTCTTCTTGTTTCTGTCCCGTTTACGGTTGGTCGGAAACATTCAGCGTGAATTTGAGAAGAAGATTCCTGAATGGTTTTTTTTTTTTTTTTCTTTAATGAGCTGACGCAGGAGTGGTTTGAACACGGTGGATGACGACAGCCGTCGTTTCTGTAGTGAAGTCAGGAGGTGTTAGCCAGACAGCCACTGCTCTCAAAGCAAACTGTACGATAACTGGTTTTCTTCCTCTCAGCTTCTTCCTTCAGGTTGAATGTGCTGAAGAATTTGAAGTTGAGAGTGAACATCTTTTCAAGCTACTTAATAACATTCAGAGACCAAAAGACTTTTTTTATCTAGTTCACGTAAACAAAATAAATAATGTCCTCACTTTTCTACGAGTATCTCACCAGAACCTTTTGAGTTTTACGACCAGCCCCATGTAATAAGAATTACTGGAATTTAATTTGCTGTGCTTACAACCTTAAAAATAATTCTTAGACATTTTGTGAAACATTCAATTTCTTGCTGAGAGTTAGATTAAGAATAATTGTACATGCTTTTACGCATTTATTTTTAAAGTTAAAGGAAATACCTCTAAAATAATATTTTTTGTACTTTTTGTGCTTGTTGAATTAAACTCTTAAATCATCTTTTTTTTAGGAATAGTTTTTCTTCTTTGATGGCCGTCTGGCAGATCACCTCTAAAAACTTCATCCTGCCTAAACATCTAATATCGGTGTGCTTACACTCAAGACAACACGATGGCACAGACTCCCACGAAAACACAGTTTCCAGTCAAGCCGTATTTTTCTTCTCTCGTTGTACATTCTGGGTATTTATAAAGAACATTTACTATCGGTACATTTGAACGAGCCATCTAAGCGAACTCATGGAACGTAGGAGGATTACCAGAATAAGGTATTTACAATCAAAAGGCCAACCACAGAAAATAAAAGCTACTTCTGCACATCAAAATCTCTAGAGCTACTATTTTTTCAAGCTGAAGAACATAGTAGAAAAAGAATGACCGTGACAAAATAAAAGCTCATGGTACATCTTATAGGTACATCCACGTTAAGGTTTGATTTGACCCTGCTCTGTGCTTTTAGTGTCCAGATCTGAGTCAAACCACAGAAATCGCCTTCAGTCTGAGAATTTTTGTTTTTGTGCCAAACCAATCTTCAGGATTTCAATTGCAGTTGAACTCAGATCTGGTTGAAACTGGTCTGAGATCAGAAACAGCGTCTGGCCTCGAGTTCGACAAAACCAAGATGAGTGATGATGATGCTCTCACAGCTGTGGACCAAGCAAGTAAAACTTTGGCTAAAAGAAGCATATGACACATTCACACACACACACACACACACACACACACACACACACACACCCACACCCTAACTACAGGCCTCATATGCTTTGCAGACCCTGATAATGGAACATTTGTGTTAATCTTTTCAATCAGATGAACATTTTCTCAGTTGCATCCATCATGAATCTTGACCTCGGGACTCCAAGTTTAGAAGCATTACACAGTTTTAAATTTGAACCCATCAACAAGCTTGATGGAGAAGAATAGTAAAGTAAAAGCATAAGAATAATCATAAATCACAGAGAAAAACCTACAAAAAATGTAAACAAATGGTTCCACTTTGCCACCTCCTCATTGTAAACTAACAGAAAGGTTGTAAGTAATGATGAACATAAGTACGCGTACAGTGATGTGGTATTTATTTGTAAAGGTTATCCAAGCCCAGAACTTTTCTGCCTGCAACCTTGCATAGCTGTGGATGTGTAGCCATACAATAACTGACTGGATTTGAATTTCCTCCAGTGGGCCTGGTTAAGGCTGCGGTTCTGTAGAGTGAAGAGAAGAAACTCGTCATTTGTAGCGTGCAGACTCAACTGTAGAGTCGGGATTCATGGATTGGATGGAACCTGAATCAAAAATGGAGATGACACCTGCAGTTTCTGAGGCTACAATCGAGTCTGAACGCCACAAGTGAATCGTTCCGTACAAAGAAGGATTTATCTATTTTTTTGGTTGTGTCAAACCTGATTTGGCTGTGTTAAACCTGATCTCTGATTGGCTGGAGCTCTGGGTGCAAAGGGGACATGTGGTTTGGGTCAGCGGGTGAGGGGTCAGCGCCGGGGGGAAATGCCAGTGGGACAGCTGCTCTCAGAGCTCAACATAAATCTCCCTCTAACAAGCCAGAAGCACATACAAAGCTGTGACTCTTCAATAGTAACCTTTTATTTTCCTATAGGAGCACGTGTGCCCTCAAATCTAGAACATTCATGCAAGAAATTCACGATTACAACCTGTGGAACGAACAGAAAATGTCCGACTGTGTTCCCTCGATGGCACATATTCGGCTGTAAGGACAGCGAGCCAACATGGTACGCTGTTTTCCTTTGACGTCTGTGCTCGAACACACTGAACCATGCTGAATGTACAGTGCATGTCCAGTTTAGAGTGTGTACCTAAGACAATCACCACCTTCCTGATGTTTTTGCACATAACCATAAAAAGAAATAACCCACCTCCACTTGTGTCGTGCGGTTAAGGCATTGTTGCTTTTTCACAGAGACGGAAGGTGTTGCTGTTTTTACGTACACTCTCCACATGAGGAGTCGGATTGATTGAATTACACCATTCCATCAATCTTAATGTGAAACACTCTTCACACACTTTTCTAAACATATTTGGCTAAATTCTTCAAACCACTGTAACCACAACTATACAAAAACCACCCAGCTTGACTCAATAGCACCATATGAATATTGTTCCCAAATTATAAAGGGGTGAGGGATTATTGGACATCAGTGTGTCAGTGTGTGTAAGAGGTGAGGTAGGGACATATCCCATGTTACACTACTTTTCATTGTGTGTGTACTCAGCATATCTCGCTGCTGCAGAAGAAAACCCTGTGTGTGTGTATA